ATGGTTCATGGGGTCACGAAGAGTCGGACACGACTTAACGACTGAACAACAACAAAAAATTTCAAAAAGAAACCATATATCTTGAATTTCTAAAACAACTTGTATTTTTTATTTCTGTATATTATGTTGATTTTTACTATTAATAAGCCCTTCAAAAACACATAGAACCTACTTCACTGGCAAGATCTCCTGAAGCTTTGGCAGCAAGCAAAGACCTGGAATCTAACTTCATTTCAAAATTGTGGCCCCTGCTTTTCTGCCAGTCTTCTTTGTACTTAATCTAGAAAGAAATTGTAGTTGCATGTTACATAATATTAATAGAGATAAGCTACAAAAATATACATAACACAGCAAACCACTACCATATGTGATTTTAAAACTATTGTAAATATGCATATGGCATATATATTGTGTTTAAGACTACATTCACATCCATGTCTGTATCTTTCAGAATCACTTGGAGGCAGATGAGCTTGGTTCTTCCTTCTCAGCAATGCTCTTTCAGATAGAGTTCACTTTAGCCAGTGAAACCTAACAAGCATGAGAAGGGTGTTTGAAAGGAACCCTATTTCATATTATTAGGAGGAGAGGCAAATTCACAATGTTTCTCTCTTCCTTACAACTCACGGAACCATGAAAACAGGAACTTGGTTTCCCTCTCCCCCACTGACCATGAGCATGGTAGCTGAGAATGAGAAACAATGAGGATTTTCCCTTCCTGAAACTCCTTGCCAGCAGTTGTTAGCAGGATCGCTGGATGGAGTGGGAGCAAGTTAACCTCCCCTTCTCTCATGTGTCGAGCCCTGCCAATATCTCATCCAGGTAATCTGAACACTGCTTCTCCCTGCCATTAGTAGCAGAAAAACAAAACTTTGCTCCACAGCATCCAACTAATAAATGCTTAAACTTTACTGCCTAAATTAGTCTGTGCCTGCTTGCTCAGAAGAAGTGTTCAGTTTGCAAACTCCATAGGTAAATGACTATAGCAGTAGTGGACAGCTTAGAATATCTTCAATGCTCCATGGCTGATTGGCTGAAGCAAAGTAGTATAAAGCTAAAACAAAAGCCCTGACATCCCCCATTTTCTCTTTCTCTAAGACCTTCCTTTCCCTCCTTCATGCAGTAGGGTGCAGGAAAGATGTGGATGTCTGAAGTGCTGCCTTACATTCACTTAAACTAAGATCTACACTGGAATGATGGAAGCCTAGTTCATTCTCCTCCCCAGTGATTCTGAACCCTACCTCTATTTATCTGTCATATGGAAAGTCTTACCTCGCTGTATAATTCTGCATTGGCTTTGGCCTTCACTAGCTCTGGTACATCCTGAGGCAAAGTATAATGTGTTTTGTTTTTCTGATAGTTGGCTCGATAGTTCAGCTGTCAGAGGTCAAAAACATGCATTTAAAAGGTTTGTAATTATTCAGGATTACAATATGATGCTAAAAAATCAATGTGAGGCTATGCTAAGTCTCCAGGAAGGGCGGGGGCTGTTATTTTATCCTATAATATAGTAACTAGTCATTGAAAAATATGAATGCAAAATAAAATGTAAATTATAATGGCATGTATTTTACAGGTGTCTTGAAAGGAGGGTCTGAATGATAAAAACTATATAATATTGGTGAATTTCCCAGAGAAAATTGGTTAGTTAACATTCATTTAATTTTTATTGCAATTCTGCCATTCATTTTTTAAGTCTACTTTTATTAACACATTATATTTGACATAAATGAATCATTGATGTCATCACTAAGATGGTCATCTTCTATCTGTACCAATTCCAGTGGCAGTTAGGATATGTTTCCCTTCCATTTCCATCATCCTAGAAAGATATCCAGAGGGGATTGAATAATTATTTCAGTCTAGGCTGGTTTGCTTCATGAAGACATTTAATTACTAAGTATGAAGATATTCAAGTTTAGTTTCAATTTGTACAGATAAGTTACAGATATATCACCTCATACAGAACAAGGCTTCAGACCTAATATCTGTAGAATAATGCCATAAAAAATTGATATATAAGGACTGTATCCTTTATCCACAAAGGCCAATTACAAAAAGAGATAAATTTTTGGCAGCCATGATTAATCAAAATCTAACTATTGTTATGTTCCTCTGAAGCATTTGTGTCACTGCACAATCTATGGATTTTCGTTTATGATATCTAGCTAATGGCATCCATGGCTTATTTTGACAATGTGTGTTGAAGAAGCCACAGAGATCTGTTTCAACTCCCTCACCAAACCATAATGTACTTTGATTCCCTATACTTTGAGGAGCAGGTTGTCATCTGTGCATTCTTCTTTCTCATCACTATCATCACTTCCTGTTCACCGCGGTTGTCTCTTTCAGCTGAACTCACACAATGGCCCCGAAGAAGACATTAAACCCATAAAAGTCTGCTACTCCTTCTTATTCATATTAGAAACAAGATGAAAAGCTATTCTAGTGGGCATAGGGAGCTGGCAAAACACCCATCTTTCTGGGCTGTGTGCTCAAGTAGACATTCACAGTGTTGCGCTTGATAAATTTAGTACTATACAAACCATTACTTTCCCAGGGCTATTTGACAATCATAATACTTACATCACTAAGTTGCTGGGCATTGATTTTTGCTTGAATGATCTGAGGTGTGCATGTAATAGAGCTGTATTTCAATTTATCTATGTTTTGCCTGTAGTTTACCTAAAGTTAAAACAAGTAAACATTCAGTTTACACACACTTCAAAATTACAACCACTGATCTCATCCAAAGATTTTCATATCACACTGCAGGATGCAATTAGTATTCTTTCCAGGCCTTAATTATTATTCACCCCCTGATTAATTACCTCCTTACTAAGCTGCAAATTGTACTGTATATCATTTAAAAGTAGTTCGATTTGAGAGCTTTTTTGAAGAAAAGGAGACTACAGCAGCTAAATGATATTTGAAGCTATGTTATCCATAAAAATTTAGAACTCTAGCATGGTATAAGTAATCCATGTCCAATGTCTAATTTGATAAGCCATTCTTGCTTCAGCAGATGACCTAGCAATCCAGTGAAATTCCAGATAAGTTTCTTCATGAGCCGTGATTTCTGGGGGGGGGGGGGGGGGGGGGG